CCCAATATTGACACCTTGGCCAGGTTACTTAGCCTTTTTATGGTTTAACATGTTTTCCAAGATAGGGACAGTAATACTGCAACCTAACTTAGAGGGAGGTTTGGGGAATAAATTAAAGACAACAGAGGTTCCCAATTGGACAAGATATTAGGGAGAATGTGCTCGCTGCCCTGGGGCATTTGTGTAGTTGTCTATCTACGGGTAGAGACCCGAGATGGTCTTGGACCTCCTACAATCAAAGGCTAGCCCCATAACCCCATGACACAGCTCTTGACACAGAAAATCTTCTGGGCTAATTACTAGCAACAACGCCAAAGCAAGTCCTGGCTTGGTGCTTTCACCTGTGCTGAAGAAACGACTAACAAGAGCTGTTGTTCCCTTTGATGAATTTACAAGACAGGAACCGAGGAAGGGCACTGGGAGCTGAGGGGTGGCAGAGCAATTAAGAGCACATAATGCCCCCACAGAAGACCTGAGTTCAGTGCTGGTGGGCGTGGCTAACAACCACCTCAACGCCAGCCACCTCAACGCCAGCCCCAGGGGAATTGGTGCTCTTTTGGACTCTGCAGGTGCTTGAACTCAAAGGTACATATTCCCACACCCCAACACACACATATATACACGTAATTAAAAATAAATGTTTAAAATAAATTTGAAAAGAAAAATGTCACTGGAATTACTTGATTCTGCATTATCAAATCAACAAACAGGAAGCGATGAATGCAAAGAATTATGGAATATATTTTTCTAAAACAAAAATAAGAGTATACTATAATAAGCAATAAACAATATTCAAAAAGTCTATTGTTCTGGGAGATACAGGATACAGAAATCTGTAACTGATTCAACTTAAAAGGTTCTAAGCCAAATCGTGCATTTAATAAAGTGAAGATTAACTAGTCACAAAACCAGAGAAAACAGAGGAGTTTTCAAACTCGGAGGACAAGAGGAGCCCTACCCAGTTCCTGACAAGAAGACCCTCCAGACTTAACCAGCCAGAGTCAAAGAGCTGGGTGAGAACTGAGGCTCTGATCTCCACTAACCACAAGAAAAGAACCATCTTCCACATCTAAGTCTGTTCACAAAGAAGGGAAATAGCAGAAAGACTTAAACAAAGAGCTTGCCCAGAGTTCTGAAGTGCAGCAAAAGCCATAAGTGTTGACCAGACCCAGTAAGGAGCCAAGAGCCTTTAGGCCACACTCTCTGGACCTCAGCTTTTCCATCTGTATTAACAATATTAATGACTGTAACTATTTTACCATGACATTTTTAGTAGCAATGTGCTCCAACATTTACATCTAAAGATTTAAATTTCTCAAAAGGGGCAGGCTGGAAACTATAGAAGTCAGACCCAAGCTGGAACAGGAAGACAGTTCTGAGGAATCAGAGCCAAGAAACACTTACCAACACTTCTCTCAAAGACGGTAATGAATGTGCAATAAAGCTAGAGAGCTCTACAGTGCAAAAACCACTCCGTGTACAGCCCAGATGAAGTCTTTAACCCCTTAGCCAACACTGATTTGAGGATGCATCTACGAAAACCCATGACCAAGGGGATGAAAGTAAAACATGTTGCAGAGAAACTGTCCCAAAAGTGCTAGGAAAAGAGAAAGCTCACATCATGGAGACAAGATAAATGTTTTATTGAGAAAGTCCAACATTAGAGTGGACTCTGAGGCACAGGCAGAGCTTTGGCCAGCTGTCAAGCAGAACACAAGCAGTGTCACTGAGGCCATCATGAGAACTCACCATGAGCAGATAGTCTGGATGTCTATAATGTGGGGTCTGATTTGGACAGCCTAGATCTCTAAGAATGTAGGCACTAGTTGCGGGAGCATCCTTACAAACAATGAGACTTGGTCTAAATACACAGTTTTGATATTTTGGGTTAAAGTGCAAAAAAAGCTCTTTTGCATAAATGTTAAGTATCTTCTCACATTTAAGAAAGATGCCAGTTCTATTAATATTATTCTAAAGCCATTAAACTCAATTTCCATTATGACAACAGGTCAGCCAGAAAGCAAATTAACCTACTGGTTTTAATTTTTATAAATCCAGTTACTAATCTAATGTAGGTCATCAAATAAGTGAACCCTAAAACTATTGGTTCTTTTTAAAATTTAGGACCACGCTACACCATATAACAAACTGGTCCTTCCACCATATAAAGTTTATAAACTGGTTTCTACTTTTTAAAAGCAGCATCAGAAAAATTACATCATTGAGCTGTCTCAAGTGCTTCCTCAATCATGGGAAGAAATCTACTGGCTACCAGAAACAATGAACCAGCACACTGCATGCCACATTACCTCACATCTAAGAATAAGATCAGGCTGGCAATGTATTAGCAACTTTTAAATCTTTTTTAAATATTGCTGAAATTAACACTTGAATCAAAAAGAAATTCTGATGTACCTTGGATTGAATCCAGGGCTGCTCAAGTATTCTTTCCCTGAGCTACAATCCTGACTTATTTATCAGAAGACAGGGTCTTCCTAAGTTACCAAGGCTGGCCTACAACTTGGGATTTCCCCCTTCCAGAGATCTGCATATAGTTGGTATTACAATCATATACCACTGTATTTGGCGTCACTTATAAGCCATATGTATCACTGTGCTGGGAGTCACTTACAAGCAATAACCTAACAAAAAGGAAGGGCGTATGTACAGTGCTGGCATCTACTTCTTCAGAAAAGGGGAAAAATGAAAGAGGATTATTTTAGTCCAAGGGAAAAGCACTGTCCCAGCTTTTAAACTGCCTTCTATGAGTTTAGGAACAATGTATTCTAGATATTGACACGCTGTACTTTGATATATGCAGACACTCTTTGATGAGGGATTTTCAAGAAAGAAACAGAGCAAAATAAAATACTAGCATGAAAATCTGGAGGTGAGCATTTGGCATGCTTGGCCATTTCACACACTGAGCTTGGGAAACTACTGCCTATCTAGGGTTCCAGAACACCTTCTCCACTGAAAAGGTCCACTACATAAGCTCTAAAATGTCACATCAGGAACCAAGTTTGAAACACTATCAACCTGTAGATCCTGTCACATGCTTGGTGGAGAAGGGGTGGAGCATGGTGAAGTCGACTGGAGTAAAGCCAATGACCTCCATCAGTCTAGCTGAGGGGACTGAGGGAATGTTTTCTTCACTGATGAACAGTTTTGTCATTTGCGGTATGTCTGAAGGAAGAGAATGCATGCAATGTGCCCAGAAAACTGCAGGAATTAAATACAGAGTAATCCTTAGTCATTAATACACATTCTAGTGGAAAAGGCTAATCTACTTACTGTTGTACTTTCTCAGCAGAGCAGGACTGCCCACCAGTGCTTTCCAAATGGAAATGATTGACGACTGGGAGCAAGGAGATAAAAGCTAGAGCTGAAGATCAACAGAGGGTTTGAGTCTTGCACACAGCAACAACAAAAAGGAAAAATAACTGTGTGTTAAGAGGACCCCCAAATAGAAAAATATAAAATGAATTAACAATGATTTCATAATCAAAATAAACAGAAAGCAGCTAAGAGTTTATGAGTGCCAATAAAGTCTGATCTTCCACAAAGGCCTCAGATTCCTGTTCATTGTACAGAATCACCTCCAACCAAGGTCCACTTGCCCACTGTTTCCTGTTAGAGTCATACGGGACTCCTCTCCCACGAAGCCACCTCTTCCCTTCCAGGCTTTGCCTTGTAACTGGAAACTCCCTCATCTTCTCATGACTCACTCTAAACGTCAGGTCTCATCCACACCATCACCTGTTCAGGGACATTTTCCTGCATCCCACATACCATAGTCACACCAATGTGTCTTACTGCTTGATCTTCTAGCATTCATTACTATCTAAAACCATGTTTTCATTTGCACATATACTCCATCTTCACCAAAATCTGAGGAATTTGAGAGCAGGAACCTTATCTAGTGTTCAATACTCAGTTTCCAACACCTTAAACAACATGTGGCATAGACAGACATTCATCATATAAACTGTCTAATGATTAAATCCAAATGATAATCACTATCCTGAGAAGATAAGTCCTCAGAACAGTTTTAATTTCCTTTCTTTAATACATTTGATGATGTAACCTTTAAAGGTCCACGTTTGAGACAGGAAGATTTCAAAGAAAAATGTATTCTTCTCAACAATACAAAATAGTACATATGTATGGCTATCATGTAGTGGATGTAGAGAGAGGCACAGTATACACTGTCCCTTCATAGTCATGTTTATCCAGCATTTTACTTATCCATAAACACAGTCATAATACTATAAATTGTTCTTTTTCATCAAATCCTGCTCTAGAAGAGGATGCTGGGCAGATGAAGCAAAGATGGGAAATCCGTTTAGGATCCTTAAACAAAAACATCAGACGGGATATGCTGAAGTAACTCTAGTGCACTGAGAAGTTAAACCCGTCACTGTGTTCAGCCTTACTAACCTTACCCAAACTAGTACTGGGTCAAGTGATGGATTCGGTGATTCCATCTGTGAATAGAGACAAATGCCTTTACAACTGCCATATTGAGAGAACACTAAGGAAAGTTCCACGATGTCCACCCATGTTCCGACCAAAAGAGGAAGAGAAAGAACGCTACTGAGATTTTAAACAAACAAACAAACAAATAAAAGAAAAGGCAGAATGAATGGGCAAAGCGGAGAGCTAAACCCAAGTCTAGAACATTCGTGACTCATGCTTTAATTTTCGTTTCATTTTGTTATATTAGGGCTTTTCTTGATGCAGGCGAAAGGCCGGTAACTGACAGTACCTGTCAGCCCATACCCGCATGTCATCCCGGTCTTGACCGGTGAGTGGCACCGGGCCAAGGCACGGGACCACCCGCCTCCTGTTGAGTGTGGGAGTGGGCCCGGGGACCAGCATCACTACCGCACTCCGCCGGATTTGCACCCACAGGGTGCATGGCCCTGGCCAGGCGTGGGGAGTCCTGCGAGTCCCGAACCTTTGCGAGCTGCCCCGCAGGGCTCGGGAAAACAGCCTACCTCCTCTGCGGCGCGAGCCGCCCGCTGGCCTGCAGACCCGGCTCCGCGGTCCAGGCCCGCCGGGCTGGGGCGGGGCTGCAGGGCGGGACCCGCCGGGACGTCAACACGCTGAGCACGCACAGACGCTGCCGCTCGCCGGAACAGTGGAGAGGTACAGGAGACAGCGGATTGGTTTGAGGAATTATCAGTTTCGTGACAACCAGTAGACGGGTCAGGAAGGAGGCAGTGGGCGGGTCTGGAATCAGGCCGAGCCTCCAGAGCCCCGCCTACAACTGCAAGGTTATAGTTAGTTGCAACTTCCTGAGGGATTCTAGTGAAGGCTTTATTAGTCGCGATATAGGGTTTGGGCTGCAGCCGGTGAAAAGTAATCCTAAAGTTTCTAAGTTGCATTAATTGAGGTGAGAAACCCACCCTGAATGTGAGGAGCAACATTCATGTTCTGGGGTCCCAGGACAAATAAAACAGAAATGAGCAGAGCAGCCACATTCATCTTGATGTGTTTCCAGATAGTGGATGCCTCTGACCATAGGTCTCACACTCTTGCTACCACACCTTCTTTGCTATGTTCGATTAATTGTACCCTAAATGCGAGCCAGAATAAATCTTTCCTTCCTTGTTTGTCTTATACTTGATCCAAGCAATAAAGAAAATAAATAATATTTGCAATATTGTAATACATTATGTTTGTAATATTGATATATATTAAAAGAATAATGTAGTACTTTAACATTCTCAGTTTTGTTTATAGTTTCAAATTTTGTCCATTCTACTGTTTCTCAATATTGGGTTATTTAAAGTTTGGAGTAGTTAAAAATGATGCCACTATGGATATTCTTGTACCACATCATTGGTGCCTATAGCTATACATTTGATTTTGGTATATTATAAAGTGTTGTGTCACTGTGGCACAGGATATACATATGTGTTTAGCAGTAATGGACATCTCCCAGTAATTTTTTGGTTTCATCAATTTTCACATTCACAGACAAGGGAAAAAAATCTGATTACTCAACATTTGCCAAAGATATTTTCAGTTGTGTTCTTTTGTACTTCTTTTCATCTATCAGGGACTAGGGGGGTCCAGCCCCTCAATAGTCCCTTCCCAGGGTCTGGGAAGAATCTACAACCAGCTGATAACCACATCTTTGATGAAATGAAATGAATCTACGTACACGAAACTCCTTAGTCCATATACTTCATTATTCTGAATCAGTTCCCTCTCTACACACACACACACACACACACACACACACACACACACACACACACACACACGGCTTCTATTCTGCTCTCATGCGTACTAGCTCTTTTCTTGCCTGATTTCTCTCTACATTTATCTGCTGTCCCCTCTAAGTTCTATCTTAATTCTCTCATCTTAGTTCTGCCCTATCTAGGTTCTCATCCATCTAGTTCTTTCCCATCTCAGCTCCTCTCCCATCTCCTTTCTCATCTTGTTCTTCTCCATCTGGCTCTTCCTCATCTACCATCTTGTTCCTCTAGTACTCTCTTTTAGCCCTTCAATCTAGTTCCTCCCCATCTAGTTCTTTCCTCTCTAGTTCTTACCCATCTAGTTCTTCCATTCTCCTTTCTCTTCTCCTTCTCGTGCTCAAGATCTCTCTCTCTCTCTCTCTCTCTCTCTCTCTCTCTCTCTCTCTCTCTCTCTCCTCTTCTCTTCTCTTCTGAATCTCATACCTCTCAGTTCTTCATTCCCAAGTTCTCTAGGGTATTCAATTATAAACCCAAGAAATAGCAATCCTCCCTCTCCAGCCAGGTCACCAGGCTTGAATTCCTACAGGGCCATAAAGGCAGGTAAGAATTTTCCTCAGGCAGTGACAGGCTTTGTTTTACAACCCAAAAGGGTGTGGTAAAGGAGGAGGTCAACTGAGAGCTAATGATCAGTTAGTAGATCAGTAAAAAGGGAATTTATATGCTCAAACTACATTCCTAGAAGTGTTTAGATTTAGTGTTTAGAATTTAGGAGTCTATAATCTTAGTAAGGCTGTATAGGAAAGGAGGGTCTCACCTTAAGTTGCACAAGAAATAAAGCTATCTGCCTAACCTAGGAGACAGGTGTTGTTTCCATAAGGATGTTACCTTAGTTCAGGAAGATGGTCTGGCCTTGGATACTTGGTAGACATTTTAGATAAATACCCTGTTAGTTCTTGGAAGCACACAAGAAAATAATTTTAGGAACCAGCTAATATATATACAAAAGCTAAAAATATCACCAAGACTTCTTGAGCCATGACTTGACCTTCAGAAAAGTCCTTGACTTTTCCAAGTAGTAGTGTTTGTGATAATAGCTGAGTTCCATTACATTTTCCTTCAGCTTGCAGCATTCATCTTTTACACACGTTTATTTATGGGCATTACAATGTGGATTTAACTTGCATCTCCTAAATAAAAATGAGTCTATACCCTTAGACTGTTTGGATATTCCTTTTTGTCAATATCTGTCAGAGGTTTTTTTGCTTATTATTTAATTATGCTGTCTGCCTTTTTCTTAAGGATTTCCTGCATTCTTAATGAGTCCTTCATCTCAAACATATAGTATCAGAACACGTACATGAATTGTGAGGGCTAAAGTTATGTTTTAAGTTTTCATTACTGTGCTTAAAAGATCTATAAAACAAAAATGCCTCTAACCTGTAAGCTCCATTTGCCCAAGGACAGATAACTTCTTGGAATGCTAGGGGCTATTGTTCATGTAAGATAACAAGCCACGAGTTTTCAGTTCTGTAAACAAGGTTGGTTGCCCCAACTACACAGGATGTGCTTGATCACTTGTAGGCAAGAGGTACATAAGCAGGAAGTACATTAGGATGTATGCTTGACCCTGATTGGATGAAGGTGGGAAGTGTGTAGCCTTGTGGGTTTTCCCTTTATAAGCACCAGACTAATTAATTTGCTGCCATTTTCTGAGAATCCTGGGTATGGATCTGGCCATTGTCCATTGTCCTGACCAGTAGTTATAAAGCTTGCTTCAAACTTGGCCCAAAAATTGTGATGGTGATCTTATTCTCACCCAGTGGGATTGACAAAATAAAGCTGTGTGAGTTTTCTCAGAGCTTGTGAGAAAACTTCAAGTAGACAACAGTTTTACAACCTTTGTTCTTCCATAACGATGATTCATTCTTGGAATGTGCACCTCCCAGGTGTTGTAAATAGGGGTCTGTTTACTTTATATTACCCATTATCCTAGCCATTATTAATTCAGAATGATGTTTCCAAGCACATGTCCTCCTGGATGTGTACATCCTAAACTCATGTGCCCTTGCCCTTGTGATTGTATACAATGTGAACTCAAGTGAACTTTGCTTACAAGACCCTGCTTAACCCTCAAAATACCTTCAGCATATAAATTGCCTGATGCCCTGAATAAAGTGGGCTATTGTATGAGACTTTAGTCCCCCTCATTTTCAGGCTCCACTCTCCTAGGTTCATTTTGCCGACTAGAGTAGTAACAATATTGTGGATATATTTTATTACCCTGTGGCTCACATTTTCATTACAAAATTATTCTTTGACTACTTAGAATCTACTATATTCTTCCTAGTTCTTAGACAATGCAAGCCTTCAAACATTTTAATTTCCTTAGTATTATGTAAATGTACCATGCAATTAAATTGTCTTTTAAATCAAGCAGAGTGCAATTTTAATTTACATAAACAGTGTTTATATTTTTCCCATATATTTATCATTATTTTGATTTTTATTGCATCATACAACTCTGGGACCATATCAGCAATGATTTTATTCTTTATTAAACGTGAATCTGCTGGTATAGCTAGCTACTGTTTACCTAAGATGAGATACTATTGTTACTGTCTATTACTCTGAGTTGATTTGGATATTCTCAGAGATAACTATTTTCTTTTCCCATTTATTTCAACAATATGGCTACCCATGGGTGATATTACAGGTTGATAGTTGGAGTGAAACCAGGGACAATAATACCCAGAATTGTGACTGAGCATGTTGATGGATGCCAATGATACAATTTCAGTGTTATCTAGTCTATAATACTGCTTTGCACCATAAGAAAAGAGTCTAGAGTGCTGTTGTAAACAGACTCCTGTATACAACTCCAGTGCCCTTTGTAAATGCTCTGAACCCTTAAATGGAAACTGTCAGAATTAAAACCTGGTCAAAACTCTAACAACATTTGAAATTTTATAGCAAAACAAACATTGAGTCAAAAAGAATGAACTTTAAAGTGATAGGAGAATTTCAGATCATTTTTACTTAGCGCTGACCAACTCCCTTTCAGATTTTGTAGCAACTTTAAAGACAGCAGGCTTCCCATAGAAGACTCAGGTTGCCAAATTAAAAAGAAGCAGAAGAGAGATTACAGCTTACAAAGAATTACATTTGCCTCTTCCAAATGGCACCCTTGTGAAATCCTTTGAAAGCCTTTTGAAGGCACAGCTCTTCTAAGGATCTGCTAGTCTAGCTTTTTCATTAGGCATTCTTTCATATAAGTGTTTTAAGAGTGAATGCACCAAGAGTGAAAACATCCTGTGGTCATTAAGTTTCTCTATTGAGTTAGAGTTTAAATTAGTGAAGCCCCTTTCTTAGGCTGGCTCCCCATTCCATCTGTGTGGTGAAATTTGAGCAAAGAGAAATGCAAATAGGGTATCACAAGTCCCAGTGAGCTGTTCTTCATGGAGCATTTTAGTGGCTCTGTCAGGTGTTTGATTTCCTTTAGTGTCAGTTTCTTCATGCTCTGGGCAGGATGTGATAGCCATTTGAACTGGCAAATCTGCTGTCTGAAGTATGGCTAGTGTTTCCACAAGATGCTTCCATATCATTATTTCCTGAAGTTTCTTTCTCAAGGCTGCATGTGCACAGACTAGTAGGAAGCTAGGTTTGGAATCAATTTAGGGGTTGATTTGTTTTCCTGGGGACAGTTGGAAAGCTCATCCTTTATGTGGAAGTGCCAGCTTGGCAGGTATGTGCTTTTCTTAATTTTATCTAGACCTCTCTCACACAGCATATCCAGCTCCATGATAATTCCTAGATCTCAGCTGTCAGTGCTAACCTGACAAATCCAGTCTGCTGAATTGAAAATTTATTTATTTATTTATTTTTGTTTTTTTTTTGTTTGTTTGTTTTAGACAAAG